AGTGCTGTTTGGCACCGTCACTGATATATATGATCTTTTTAACATTCGGTATGACTTTGCAGATTTCAGGTACAAGTTTTTTTTGCATCAAGTATACAGCAGCAGCATCGTGCTTAGTACACTCCGACATCGATAAACAGCTAAAATGTTTTAATTCACCTTCTGATTTATAGTAAACAACAGCTGGAAATATTGTAGATTGATCATTATTATAATGAAATTGCTGGGTGGCATTTTGAGCAACGTAAGCATAATTTTCTGAAAAATCTAATTGTACGAGCACTTCACCAGCTGAAAGATAATTCTTTTTTTCTTCAATAAACTTAGACTGTTGCTTAGTAATAAAGTGATGAGGTATCAACTTTTTCAATGCAGAAGAAAGAACTTCAATGAAATCTTGCGTTGATAGACACTGCTTTATCAGTGTACATCTGTCGGTTGCCTGCCAGGTACTGAAAATTACTTGACTAATATTATTCTCTTCCATAACATTTTCAACGTAGTCTATGAATTTTTGAATTTTCGGACAAAGATTACACTGCTCCAAATAACAGTTTTCTGTCGGATTCTTACAAAGAACATAATTTATACAGTCTTTATAATCTTTGAGAGTACCATTAGAGATATTTTCTAGATTAATAGCGTCAATCATCGTTTTGAAGTTTTCATGTATAATACACACGCATACATTATGCGTACCAGCGGATCCTGCGAGTACACACCACCTTGGTCTGAGCTCGGCAAATTTGGTAAGACCAATCGGATATTCAGGAAAATTCTTTTTAAACTCTATGTGAAGATTTTTAATATCATTTAGTAATAATCTTTTTTGTTTTTTTGTCTTTTTATCATCAATACGAACAGTAACAGTATCTTTTTTATTGGACATGATTCTGCTGTTAATATCGTTTTCATAATAATCTATAACTGCTTTTATGGTTTCTGGCGGTAAAATTTTTCTAGATTTTGCAACTGGAGACGCCAAAATCCCAGCTGATTTTTTTAATTGTTTGGATATACGTGCCTTCCTATAAGATGTATCAAATTCCTCGGCAATTCTACGTATACTCCATCTTTCAGGCAAAATAGTGAGTATACTCGTACGTAATGGGTCATTCTGTGGAAGAGAATTAAATTTGTTTTCAAGTCAAGTTAAAATGTCTTTAAGATCATCAGCAGTATTTGAATCCTCCTCTGCCTCATTTGAGTCAGAAGGAGGCTCACTGTCTTGTAATTCGGCATTATTACAAGAGTCCTGCTCAGAATCGAGACTCATATCGTTTGCTGAAGATGAGGTATATAGTGTATCAAAAGATTTTCTGCATGCATCATAAATTACTGACCATTCTGGAAATTCAGGATGTACTTCGTGAATTTTCTTAGAGATCTTCCTGATAATTTTGCTATGTCCTCTATCAATACCGAAAGGGTTAATACATCTGTCTCCACGGAATTTTTTTTCTGGAGGAGACATTGTTCAAAAAATGGACGAACAAATTGGAAAAAAAAGGAAAATATAAATAAAACTGAGAAAATAAAAATAAAAAAACCAAAAAATGTGTGAATGATAAAATAAAATTTAGAAAGACTGGCCTACCAATTATCCTAAAAAGAACGATTGGGAAAAAAGTTGCCTACAAGTTGGTATTAAATGTCGCTGTTGGATTCTGAAAAAGACCTTTGAAAAACTCAGATAGAAATAGTAAACATCGATAAAAATTGCTGTATTTATAATTTTGACAAAGTAAATCACTTGTGTCTAGTCATGCATCACCTAATGATGATAATTTGAAGTTTAACTATCGTATGATGACCAAAATGGAAAATTCAAATTAATTTGATTCTGCACAAGTTTGCTCTAAAAGAGTGTCAAAATTCAACGTTGTAACTCTAATTTCCTATATGGGGGTGTTTCGAATCATGAATCCAGATCTGCAAAATTTAAGATGGCCAATGCAAGATGGCGGAAGAAATCTTTAAAATTTGACTGATTTACTCAAAATTTGGTATACAGGCGGTTTTGGGGTAGCTGATTGTGAATTCGTGGTCAGATTTTCAAAATTCAAGATGATAAATTAAAGATGGCAGTACATATTTGCAAATTTGTTCCGCATCTTGGATCTGTCATATTTAACCCTTAATTGGCACTGTGAGTAAAAAATATCCCAAGTAATTTTTGAGCTTAAAATATACGTATGTACTAAATTCGATAAAATGGATCATGTGGTGACATCTATCAGTAGTCGATATTACCAACTACAGGTACAATAGGTACGCGTAGTGCAGCAGGCGTCAGTGTATGTTGGGCAGTCGCTCAAAGTAGACGCCAAAAATTGTTGGGAAATTGATTACCCTGTGTATTTTGCAAAATGAATACCTTTTTTTGGAAGCATCAATGTCGCAGTAAATTTTTTCTTAAAGTATAATATCTCAAGCATTTACCCATCAATTTATAGCTAAAAATATTAAAAATTATGCGACTTATGATTATTTAAGTGAAATTTTTTTCATGTTTTTTTGCAAACTATTTTTCAAAAATTTTTTTTACTAGATTAATTTAAATAAATGACTATGAAACCAATTAGACTTCGAAAAACATACCCTAAAGTACATTATATAATGTTTTTGAGCAAAAATATTAGATATTAGCTGAAGAAAACTTATTTTAACGCGTTGGGATATTAAATACCCCATGTGTCAGTTACGTATATTGGAACCAATTACGGGATAATTCCAAATTTGAGATTCAATTTATGAATAGCAACTTTAACAATCCCATATACCGAATTTTAGGGCAATCAGTTGATTTTTGAAAATTTTGTCCGCCATATTGGATCCGCCATCTTGAATTTTGTAAATCTGACCCCGGATTTGTAAACAGCGATCCTAAAAACCTCCATATATCGAATTTGGTATAAATTTGTTGATTTTTAAAAATTTGTCCGCCATAGTGAATTTCGACCGCCATATTGAAACCGCCATGTTGGATTTTTTCATCCAACCCCAACAGCTAATAAAGGGTATCCCTAAGCTACAATTCGAGCCAAAAAATGACACGATAGGGTTCGCATTTTTCTTTCTGCAAGCTTTTTATGCCTTATACGCGGTTTTTTCCAGCTTCCGGCCGCCATATCGTAGCCGCCATATTGAATTTTGAATTTCGCCGGTAAAATTGTGAAAATTCTTTTCCAAACAAACATTTTGATACCTCAAACGTCAAGATCCATCAACACAAATTTTGGGTACGCAGGTGATTCGGTTAACGTGAAACGTCCCATATATATATATTAATTATTTACCTATGTTACTTTTACGCACCTAGTCCCACTGTTCCAAACTGAACGTAATTTATATCTCTGTAATGATTTTTCAATTCTTTTTTGATAATTATTTATAATGTTCACGATAAGTTTGTAGCTTTTTGTTAATTTATTGTATATAATTATCTTATCATGTTATTTTTTTTACCATAGATATATAGCATTTAGGAAAATAGATCCTTTAATTTGTATTTGGAAGAAAATACAAATTCCAAAAAATATTTAGAAGGAATTGCGAAATCTCGACCTCTTATCAGCGAGAGGTATGGAGGAAATGCATGGTTTTATAATGGACGAGTTGTTATGACTACAAGCAAGAATGGTTTTTGTTTTGAACATGTTACTTTTAATGCTGTAGTTATGACTACATTACATTTCTCCTTGCAAGCTAAAGGAGTATATGATATTCTCCATAGGTTGGTTGTGAAGGCTCTTCCGATCATATGTGTTCAATTCTTTTTTGAAGAGTAAAATATTATTGTCCTTAATATTAAGAGTATTAATTAATAAAAATATATATTTAAGAATCAGATTATGAATTCTTATTAATTATATTATATGAAATTATATTATAGGTAACGGGGGAGATAAATCTGAAAATGGGAAATTTATTTAAGAACAAACTCCCACGATGCAGAGCAAACCGCCACTCCGTTAAACACGTATGATAATACGTGTATTCGCCTTAACGTCAGATGATTTATCCTAGTTGTCTTTAATTGATCGGAGTTAAACTCACCTTAAGTCACGTGTCTTGTTACACTTGATGAGTTTTAAGTGTGAGCGACTTTACTCCTAATCTTCTTAATCCCCTAGACGTAATTGGATTAAAACCTAAGCCTGTTTCAAATACTTAAGCTACCAGGAAAATCAAATGACGAAAACGGCGAATAAATTTAACAGACTTTAATTAAAAAAAATCACTACAGTCTTTGTTGGGCCGAAAGACTGACGCACGAAAATAGGATTTTACAATTTAATTATTTTCCTTGAGAAAGAGAGAGAGAGAGAGTAGATTTGAATTCTACCGCGAACTAACGCACGGCGCGATTACAAAAAATAACGCTATCACGAATAAACAAAATATCAAATATATTTTGTATCGCTTAATATGACGGGAGGTGCACCTACCATGCGGTGCAATTACGGTGATCAACCGTAATTGTTGTTGTAAAATTTCAACTGCCGCTGCTCCTCAATTATCAGCTGTTCCGCCTTATATTTCCTCTATCAGCTTTTATCTGCTGCTTCTATACCGCTGCTTGCTGCTGCAATATCGTCGTTGCACACCCGCACGTATTTGTCCCAGAGAAAACTTATTATTTTTGCGAATCAAAGTGCAAAACACAAATCGGCGATAAACTCGCGTAAACAGCTGAGGCGTAACTGCTTATTCAAAAGATCGCGCGCCCCCTCTCTCTCTCAATAGTTCGAACTAACGCGCGAGAAGCAGAATCGCGAACGGTTCGATTAATTAAATCGACTACCGTTGCATATATTATTTTAAATAATTAAATATTATATTATATTATATTATATTATATATATTTTTTTCATATTGATTGAATATTGAAGCCCATAAAAAATAATGTTATTAAATAAATAATATTTTTAAATAATTGATTTTTTATTTGTTATCTATGGTGACGGCTTACATGGCATACTCTACAACTGGATACACTGACCTTCCAACTAACAATTATCAATCAAAAATTTGCAGGTATTAAAGGTATTTATAATATATTTCTCATAAATTTATAAATTTATTTACAAAATGATTATATAATTGTTCATATTTGTATTCCAACACAGCAGAAGACTTCTGTAACTAAATACTTAATTTATGTAGGTAAAGAAACAATAATATTCAACCGCCAAATGTTAAACCGCGCCAAATGAATGCGAATAACGAATGAGAAAAAAAAGAATTAACTTTATAAGGCGGTACCTTGTCTGGTATGTTAGAAATACAACAGAGTTAAATGAAATTTGTACGTTATTTAGAACTAATATTTTACATGGCTTAAAATTTACTTGCAAAAAGCATCTAAGCATCTATAATAGAGATAAATATTTAAATATAATTAAAACTGAGATCAAGCTACGCGTATATAACATTGAACAACAAATAGACTATTAATAACAGTCACCCAAACAAAGTGGTCTGTATCAAAAACGACATATATATATTCTTATGTACTTTGATACGTTTAATCCAAATCCGCATTTAGTTTGACCTCATTATGTCAGATTCAAGGGTATTTGTAGGCCACATTAAGGAAAAAGTTGTTTAAAAGAACCTAACTAGTGTTTCTTTGGTTTGAGGATTTTTGGTTGTGAATCTAGAGTTTGTTTGATCTTAATATGTCTCTCAGTCAAGTTCATTTTAAGGTCAAATGTTTACTATGCAAAAACTTTAATTTTGATTGGAAATTCGGAAAGTACATTTTAGAAAGAAAATTTTACGTTATTTTAATTTAAAAAATTTCACGATATTTTTAATTTTTTTTGTTATGACCTCGAATATCATTTCGAATGTCATTTCAAGGTCACTGTATATTGATATCATGAGAATTAGTTTGACGATTTCAAAAATAAAAAAATATGCTTTCATAGAACTAGGCAATGATTTTCATACGCTTCGAGGATCGCTTAATGCGGGTCCGAAATTCAGTTGATCCCATTCAGTTCAGATCGAGGACAGCTTAAAATCAACAGAAAAGATCACTATAGTCCAAAAAATTACTCTCGTGATTTCAGCGGTCGCTGAATCTGACTCCAGAATTAAAATTGCTCTAAGAATACCCTAATCACGTTTGGTATGCAAATAATTCGTGGTACTTTTATCCAGACATAGATGAAATTTAAAGAAGCAGCCGCTAACATAAATCGAGTTTTGAGAAGTAATCATTAACGAAGTAAATTGACCACTGCTCTCATCAGTAGATGCACTCGTCGAGACTAATGTGTCCTCCAGCAATATAGTCGTTTCCGTACGAGTTAAAAAAGTATACTGTGTTGCCGATACTGGTGTGAGTGCATGTTCTGATGCTTGCAAATACTTTAAGGAATTTGGTACTCAGTGAAAAAGTGCAGTGGTAGTGGCAATCAGGTACCTCTTTCTGTTGTTATAGCTGCATCCCATCAAAAGGTTTGTTTGCTCTCTCTCTCTCTCTCTCTCTCTCTCTCTCTCTCTCTCTCTCTCTCTCTCTCTCTCTCTCGTTTGAAACGATGTCGCCGGCAATCAATGGTGTAATAGGAGAAGCTCGACGCGGCGGTCCTTCGCCGGAGCCACGGCGCAGAGTTACGGTGTTGGAATACATTCGTGCTCGTCATCGCCGAGTTTCTGTGGTCCTTCTCTAAAACTCTCTGGTGACTCGATGACACGCATCAGAATCTGGCTCTCATACATTTGTCGTGAGGACCTGCAAATAACCGGTCGCACCAGAGAGAGAGAGAGAAAGAGAGAGAAAGAGAGAGAGAGAGAGGGAGAGAGAGAGAGAGAGGAAGAGAGAGAGAGGGAGAGAGAGAGAGAGGGAGAGAGAGAGAGGGAGAGAGAGAGAGAGGGAGAGAGAGAGAAGAATATCTTTGTCGCTGTGGGTTTATCAGCAAAAGGTACGAAAGCTGAAGATCATCCTGTGAGGCAAGCTATCCTGTCGATCTACGAGTCATTCGAGCCATTCTGCTGAGCTATTATCTAGTCTACAGGTCGCTTCCTTTCCTCTCATTTCTCTTTCTCATTTTGGCAATTCGCGGCTCATGTGGTGCACCAGGTTCTTACGGGTCGGCACGATTATTAGTAATAGTTGGGTTAATTGTTTAGGTCCGTAGACGTGTTGGCAAGGCGCTCACGTGCTGGTTATCTCGTCTTATAATAAGTATTTATTAAGTTAGATTAAGTTGTATATATGTTTTGGTTAACACTTACAAAAATGCTTTTGTAATAAAGAAATGTTCGAAATCATTGTAATTATTTTCCTCTCTACCTTGCTGGAAGCGATATACTGCCTCCCTTACCTCTCGTTTTCAAATAATTAGTAATAAGGATAGTCGGCTTTCGACGGCCGACGCTATTACAATTGATTACAACTCTATTGATTGATTTTGCCTGTTCTTCTCCTTATCTTTTCCACGCGTGCAAAAAACGTTGTCTCTTCGTCCACTTGCAAAGCAGTATAGCTTTCGGACTCCTTCTTTAATAAATAGTTCGTCGGCTAATCTTTCAGAGAAATGCAAATAAAAGAATAGTACGACAAGTTTCGCATCACTTATATCCGAAAACATCTGTCCTAAGTATCCAAAATATTCTCCATACTTGTCTAAAGCTTTGACAAACTTCTTCATGAGACCAAGTTTGATGTAAAGAGATGAATGCATAATTTTTGAAGGATCTGTTAACAGTTTAAGAAAGATAGTTTTTAATCCTAAATTAAAATTTGTTAAATTCGGTCACTTTTTCTGTTTATAGTGATATTTTTCTATCTTTACTATCCCATAGTCACACAAAATAGGCATGATTTATAACGTGACTGTTGTTCCAAAATTAGAGTTGAAATTTTAAAATCACTACAAACTTTTCATTGGTGTTCTAATTTTCTTATTCAAATTCTCGTATGTTTGCTTCAATTCCGTTGAATGAGCTGTTGGGATAAGTGCAAATATGTTTTTATTGTTTAAAAGTTTTAGCTTTTAGGTTCCGCTTAGAAGAGTCGATAAATAACATTCACTCTTCATCTTTATAAATATTAGATTCCAATTCAATGATTAACCCTCTTCTATTTATTCTGAATGTGATAGAATTTTCTCTATCTTTGGCAACGAACTCATGAAACTTCTTTTCCCTTAACCGACAAAAATAAACTTTAGTCCACTTGGACAACAGATTTTTCTTTTTCAATATTGCGGCAACATACTCAGCTCCATCTTTGGATAATACTAAATCTCTTGAGATCATTCAACTTCTTTTTATCGAAGATTTCTGGTACTCATTTTTGATAACGGCTCATAAATCTTTATTTTCCTCGCTATCACCTTGACTGTCGCATTCCTCATCCGAGCATTCACTAATTTCCATTTTCCCTGACGCAAATGATTTGTTAACTTTCATAGGTTCTTTGACTATTGAACTTTGAACATTGAAAGTTGTCATTTAGTAAATTGTTGATATTTTTATTGATCGAACATCTACATACAAGATTTTAGATTTCGGAATTGCGCTAAAACTAAACATATTGATCATACAGAAATAGTAATCCTCTCAATACTATGGCTCAGACCATATCATAGGCTGAGTAAATACGATCCCGATTTTTCTCCCATCGCAATAACATTGTTCTTATAGTAGAGTAATTACAAATCATGTGAGATATACTAACTTCTTCGTAAATAGTTATGAACTTCTCAGATAAATTTCTTCAATGTTTCGGTACTTCAAATTTTTCAAAAACCATAACAAAAATTATTAGATTTTCCATCACATGTATGAGATGTAGAGTCTATTCTTAAAATATTATACTCTACAGAGGCCAAGATTTCCGTTATTGTAGATCTGCGGTTACTTGACGACGATTGCGGGCCCGTTTGCTCACCCTAACCAACTACCGATACTGGGAATCTAAAACTCTGTATCATACACTCTCATATATTAGCCATGGTGGCATTATATCTTTTCTCCAGGGTTTCACTGAAAAACAACAAACAGAAAAAAAGACATTTTCTGCTGTCATTACGTGGAGGTGTCCAGGTGGAGGCACACAAAAACTTTAAGTGTGATAACAAATCTTATGATTTCTGTTATGTTGCGGTGAATTTTTAACTAATAAAAAACAGAAGTTATCTAATATGTTGATGATAAATTACAAAAAATGTTTTGATTCACTGGTAGTAAATCAAAATATGTACTAGATGCTTCGCATAACTTGTAATTATTGCATAAAGAATTAAAATATTAAATCATCTGAAATACAGGAAACCATTTTGCCAAGAAGATTACTTTTTTTATGACCAATCCATTTCGATTCAATGTAACCAATATATTTGAAATTATGTATGGTAATATATCTTCAGTAAAAACATCCAACAACCGAAAAATAGAAACTGCAGTCCAAGAATTTATGGAAGTTGAGAAATCATTTGCGCCAGATAAAATAGGACTTATTGTTAGTGAATCTTCAGATGAGCAATATGACAATCAAAGTGATAGTCAAGAAGATAAATATTTACCAAGTGTTATCAAGAATAAGACCTTAGACACTTTCTATCAAAAGGAGTTAAAAAATCTCATAAAAGATTTAGAATTACCCAAAGATGGAGCTAAGTAACTAGCCGCAGTATGCTATTAACAAAATTCAGTTGGAAATTCCAGCTGAATTTCTATAGGGAAATTCAATTGTATATCTATATCGATTGATATGAATCCGATATAGATTCCATAAGATTTTTAGGATGGGTTTTCAGCTGGATCTACGTGGATTTTTAATAAATTCAGGTGTATTTCCTCTAAAATGCAGGTGGATTTTCATTGTGTTATTTACAAAAGATTTTTTTTTTCTAAAGTTATCCATTTAAATAGTTTTTAAATATCTTTTAAAATATTAACACGAATAAAAAAGAAACAAAAAAAAACAAATAAGAAAAAAAAGAAAATAGGATAACAATCGTAGCTTAAACCCAGGATCTCTTGCTTTTCAACCTATTGAATTATTTTTTTAATATTACATTAGAATATTT